TGCACTCTAGGCCGAGCGGAAGCTTCGCATTCCTTGCTCCTCGCCAGGCGGTGTTGGTGGACGAAAAGTATGCGGCACTGTTTGTTTTGGTTCCTGCTTCAGCGGTATAGTGCTGGCGTTTTCGTTACGCTGCCGGAGTCGTTGCAACGCTTCGTCCGCGGGCTGTCTGCGTGCAGTGACGTACGTCTACGTCGCTTTCGGAGGCGAAGAATTTTAATCTCCGGGTGTGCACGCTTGTACGGGTGGCCTCGTGTGGCAGAATTTTTTGCGGCAGCGTTGAAAACAAAGCCGCAGCGCGATTGCTTATGCAGTTGTGCGTAATCGAGGGAAAGGAGTAATAGCGTGATGTTGCTGTTGGATTGAGATTCCTTGAGATGTTGTATATGGAGGTGATGCTGTTTTAGGGGCGAAGCTCCTTATGGCGTAGCTTGGGCGTCCCTCGTACGTAACCACCAGTGGCACATACCCGAAATAGGTATAACACTTGACCTCCAAGGTGGTGCCAGTGAGAGATTTCTTCTGTGCGTTGTTTAACAATAAAAAATAGTGCTCAATGTACATGCCAATGGCTGTTAATGGGGAATGAGAGACATGAGCATTCGGCTTTTAGTCAACGCGCACGCTGCGATCCCCATTAGCAGCCATTGGCATGTACATTGAGCACTATCGGACAAGAAAGGGATGCTACATTATACTCGCCGGGTGTAACCTCCTTAGCTTTAGAAAGGTTTAGTGAGCGTTGAGCCGCAGTGCCATGAATACAATGAACTTGTATATACCATGAATGAACTCAAGGTGGTTAAAAATGAGAAGTAGATACGAAGCGCAAGCCGTAAGAAAGTAAAAGCCGAATTCTCCTGTCTCTCATTTCTCATTAGCAGCCATTGGCATGTAAATTGAGCCCTATCTGACAGGGAAAGGTTGCTACGTTATACTCGCTGGGAGTAACCTCCTTGGTTTTCGAAAGGTTTAGCGAGCGTTTGGTCGCAGTGCCATGAATACAGTGAACTAGAATATACCATGAACTCGAGGTGGTTAAAGGTGGGAAGTGGACCCAAAGCGCAGGCCGTAAGAAAGTGTGCGTGTGCCACCTCTCGTTTAGTCCTTGGAATGTCCGCTGGATGGCGGTGCTTCTATATGGGGAATGTATGATAAAAAGATGCGAGATGGTGGGACTTGGAGTGTTGAATAGATGGACGAACGGACACACAAACAGATGCATATTAGGACACACAAACAGATGCACAAACAGATGCAAAATGGCAGCATATCCACTCCGTGGATATGCTGCCATTTTTTGTTTTTGTTTTTTGTGCCCCCCTTGGTACGACTGTCCCGCTTGTTATGCTGAGCGTCACTCGGCACCTGCCGTGGCGTGCGTATATACTCGGTTCATAACGTACTTAACGGCATTAGTCTTGCTATAGCCGATTGTAAATGTATGTAGTATACAAACGTCGTTCGTAGTGTTTCTTTCGATGTCCACACACCTGATGTAAGCTGTATCCAAAGTCCCGCTTAGGCCCCGTTACCTGTCTATCTGGCGCGGGGTATCATCACCATGTATACACAATTGAAATTGGGCAGTACCGATGTTTGTGTCTACACCCGAATTTGTTATTTGTTAGGTTTTAAAATGATGTTTATCGGCCTTAACCGAGAGATACGCCCTTATCGCGTGACCAACTGCATGACTGCATGACTATGGCGTCTGCGACGATTCCGGGGCACTCAATAGCTTACCAGCCGGAGTTGCTTCTCAAGTAACGTGTTAGCGCGCTCCAGGAAGCGGGTTTGATTCCATATTCACGGCTGCTGCATTTCCATGGAGTGCGAAATGCAGGAACGCCCGCGTAGGTCAATGTTGAAGTGGTTGACTAAAAATTGATTCCGAAGCGCCCCCCACACCACTCCTCCACCCACCCTGACACTTACGCGTGTCGCATATCGCAGTTTTGGCGTGTAAAAGGCAAGGCATTAACTAAATTCACTATGTAGCCGCTTGTCGATAGCTTTGTATGTATAGCGCTTGTATATGGAATAGTGGTATACTGCCATGAAATGAAAACGCGGCTTTTATTGTTTCCTTGGCCATCTAGAAAATGAAAAGATAAAGAGAGAGAGAGAGAGAGTAACTATGTATATATTGCCGGGCAACATCTGGGCAACGCAAAGTGTTCGTAAAAAAAAGGAAAATGATAGGATCGTTAATTGCGAGGTTGAAGCTTCCTCGCGCGCACAAGTGTAAAACCCTTTCGCCGAGAGCGTGTCCGTATATATACTTCCTTGCGCGTATATACTGGTTTTAGCTTTGACGTGTAGGTTTTTATTTCGCGTTTTATTTGACATCGCATGCACGGTATACACGGGCCTCAAGGATTTCGGCTCCGTCGAAATGTGAGCGTCTCAGCTGGAATCGAACCCGCGACCTACGGGTCAGTGGGGCCGTATCTAAACTTCACTTCTCGCGTTCGGCTGTTTGTGCGGCTCAGCCTATAGTTCGCGCTTGTCGTCGATTCTCTGCTCCCGTGCTCTGTGTGCCGGACGGTTTACATTGCGCAACTCGCGAATGTGATTCAGGGTGAATGTGATTCAGGGTGATGTGATTCAGGGTGTGATTCAAGGTGAACTCGCGAATGTCCATTCAGGGTGACCTCGTTGCGCTCCCGTTCCCGTATATCGTCGATCGAAGGTGTTGTCTCCCTATAGTTCTGCCGCTGTGTACTGCGATACCGTTATCCGGCTCTCTAGAAACACAAAAGCTTCTTTATAGTTCTGCTGCTGTGTACTGCGATACCGTTATCCGGCTCTCTAGAAACACAAAAGCTTCGCCTTTTTTGTCGAGATTTCATGGTTGTTCCTATTGACTTAGTACTTTATACTGCCACTGGGCGGATAGGAAGCAGTCATCGTTGTTCGATTAAGTTGCGATTACTCTTTCTTCCTTTTTCTCTGTTGCGTGCGCGTGCTCACGTTCACCGATGGGTTCTTTGGGTGTAATTATTGATTGACATGTGGGGTTTCACGTACCAAAACCACCGTGTGATTATGAGAGACGCCGTAGTGGAGGGATCCGGAAATTCTGACCACCCGGGGTTCTTTAACGTGCGCCCGAATCTGAGCACACGGACCTACAACGTTTCCGCCTCCATCGGAAATGCAGCCGCCGCAGCAGCCGGGATTTCCTCGGGTGTAAGATGCATAATAATTTCTAAACCTTGACGTTATAAAACCGCGATGTGTCTGTGAGGCTGAACATATAACAAACAGAGATTGTTTATCTTCATGCACAAATGTAGGAGTTTTTTTTTTGTTTTTGAACACGCGCGTGTTAATTTCGTGTTTTTTTTTTCTTCCTTCGTATTCTCCGTGCCTTCGACAAATGTTTAAGTTGTTAGCATGTTCTTGTGCCGTTAATTCGTACACATTTTCCGCGCAGTTTTCTTGATAGGGAATACCAGCTCGCCCAACAGTCCATTCTTCTAAGTTACAGTCTCAAAAAAAAAAAAAAAACAAACGAGAATAGTACGTATGACCTTTTTTTTTCGCATAAGTCTTGACTTTACACTGAATAAACTCTTTTAAGAGAGAGACTCCTCTTTCTCGGTTCCTGCGACTCTATGAAGGGAGTATACTGTTCTCCAAGGAGAGTTCAATGGTCTCATTAAAGGGAGTCTTACAAGTGACAAGTGAGAACTCACACGATTAGTCAAGGGACTTTTTAATAATTTCTTGGAGGGGTTGGTGACTCCGAATAAAGTTTGACCATCTAATGCTCTTTAACGTGCTGTTAAATATATATACACTTGTATACTTGCATTTTGCCCCTTCTAAGTGTATACCTGCCGTGTCTCTGAATCTAACCTGCGTTTTCGAGCTTAGGATTGTAGTATTGTTGCAATAAACTTGGGTTTGGTGTGATTTGATTTGATTTGAAAAAACACGGGATACGTTAGTGGAGGAACCAGTTAGTCGTTAGCGTCACAGCGGTGTTTACAGGCAGATGGTGTTTATACACGCGAGATGGTTTTCGCAAATCATTTATAGGTGTGCGGGACGTTCATAGACGTGGCATTGTTTACGCCTTCCGAAATGGCGCCCATTTTGCTTTTTTTTTCTTGCTTGCGTGAGTTTGCTTAGTTACAATTGTCCAATGTGTTGCTGTTTTTTTTTTTCTTGTTCTTGTCACGGTACTGAACGACATGCTTGGGGGAATCGGAACGAAGGGTGAAGGAATGCGTTGGCTCAGCATTGTGATAGATCTATCATAGTTTCATTCGTTCATTCATTCATTCATTCATTCATTCATTCATTCATTCATTCATTCATTCATTCATTCATTCATTCAACTGGTCATCATTTTTCGCACTTTAGTTAACTAGTTCTTTTAGCTGTACAAGATTGAAGAATTGAGCAGCTGAGATATTATTTGACTGCATCTCCCTACAGCGACTCATTAGTAACAGAGCAGAGCACTGAGTGTCATCTCTTGCGGAAAGTCATCGCACCAAGTTTTTGTTGGTTCTTACTTTTTTTTTTCAAACCGCAGTGCAGAGCTGTTGTACGCTAACACGGCGTTTTGTAATTTTCTATTCATCACTTTATGTGTACTTTTTTTTAGATTGCAGTATGCCACAGGCTGTGCATTCGAATAATTTGGCGCGCACTGCACGCTTCCAAAGGCCGTGCTATTACTAACTCTTATCCTGCTGGCCTATTTATGAAACCAAGTTTCTTTTTTTTTATTTCTAATGGTTCCTGATGATGTTCCTGCGTTGATTATGCGCAGTATCCAATTACGTAAGGGAGCGTTCCATAGCAGGATAATTGAATACTCACTTAATATTGCCTTTCTATACTCTGCTCCATTGTCCACAATGGCGTTGCCGCTTCTCTTATTTGTCGGTAGTCTGATCGTTCCTGTCGTGCATGTGCACTTTATCTGATTATGTGTGGGGTGACCATCAAACTAAGTGACTGTTTACTTTCTCTGCTTTCAGGGCTTCCCCATGATCAGCTCATCTACCTATGAAGAGGTAGCGCTCATTGGTGAGTGTATGCCCCCTTTCTTCGTAGCACTGCTTGTGCCGTTGCAGCGCTGCATGCCACCACCATACCGACACACGTAAGGCGAGTTCGAGAGATATCCGCAAGGAACACAACAACGTAAGGACGCCCATATTCAGCTGTTTTCCATAAACGTTCTTTAAATCCTTTCGTGGGCAGCCGTGGATGAGCCCATCTGTCGGGTCCCGACAGTCCCTGACGAGACGAATTTTTGGCATGAGTTGTCTGATCAAAATTTACACGATGGCTGCGCAATCTTACATTCGCAATCGTCAACTCAGCGTTGACAATTTCGTGATGAAATACGTTGTGTTCAAGTAAACGTGACCTTTTCGTCGAACAATGCCTGACGTTTAGTCGATGTCGGGTGCTTCGTTTTCTGTGAGAACGTCATTATTTTCGGTCCCAAGCGCTCGAGAAGAGGAGATACATGAAGTCATATAACGAGAGTTTTCGAACAGCAAGAGATACTGCAGAGTTTTAGCAAGCTACGGAAACAGGTTACGAAACGACGGCAACACGGAACCGGCTGACGAGTGCGCATGCGCGACCATTGTACGCGCATACGTAAGGAACCGCGCCGTATTTTCGTAACCTGTTTCCGTATAGCTTGCTAAGACTCTCTATTACTGGAGTCTATACGTTTCGAAAAAGGGTGTTTGTATTCGTCGGGGCCACAATGCAGTTTACGTTTTACCAGCACTGGCAGGGTTGAAACGCGTTAGTATCTATAGGTATCGCGATGTGAACAAGTGCACGTCATTTTCTGCACATATAATTTAGATTGGGTGAATCAAATAATAATAATGAAAATAATGCGAGCCCGTTTTCTAGCGAGCTTGCGCTCATTCGCTTAAAACTATTCGTAATACCAATAGTGTCATTCTTCTCCAGCTTGTGCGGCCGCTCCTGCAGACCATACATTTTGGGCTATAACAAGTTGCTGAAAGAGGAACTTCGCGACTTGTTTGCGTAAGGACGCCAGTACCCCGACGAATCCACTTTTCAAAACGTCCAGTGCCATTGCTCATTGTTGCGTTGAATAGGAATTACTGATTTAGATTGCGTGCCTCTATTCTAATCAGAGCCCAAGGCATATGTGCGACAGACTCTGTCGAGAAAAAGTAGCCTTCACTGCTCACGGTGCAGGCGAGGGCGCGTTGGACGTATGTAGTATAGCTGACCTAGACTTGAACGGCGCCGCTATCTCTCCCTATAGAAGACGTGACGCACGGGGACCGCAGACTCGCGTCGTTGCACATATGCTCTTGGCCGATAACGCTATCGCGTCCCGACCGTTCTGTGACGTCAATGCCCCTCTTCCGCCCTTCAGTGTAACGAGCCTATGCGAATTCTCTTCATTTCGTACTGCGTTATTGCATACAACACCTCTCGCAGAACATCCTCCCTTCTACGACTGCCAGCCGGCTTCCTTTCCCGCAAACAGCACTCGTATGGCTGTCAGTATCTCTGTGTTCGCCTGTTAATCGCTCTTTCTCTCTTGAGCGAGAGAAACATCGCAGGATTGGCTTTTTTTTTTTATCTCGTGTTACGGACAATCTCCTACCTCACATTTAGGGCTGTGATTAGCATGACAAGCTGACGCGGAAAAGAGGCAAGTCGTAAACCGTGTAGAAAGCTGCTGTTCCGACACTTTCTTCAGCCTATATCGCCTTTTCGCGGAGACCATTACGTGGCTTTGTACAGCTAACATAAGAGGTTGCGTGTTCGATTCCCGTGGTTCATGCGAGAGCTCATCTATAGAAGAGATATACTGCATCGGCGATGAGTGGTGAACGCTAATTAATGCTGAACTTTGCAATACAATAGCGTTCCTCATGGCCATCACAACACGCTCACGGGTTTTTCTTTTTTTTTTTTACACAATTTCGATGAGAAGTCAGTTCTCATGTGTTCAGTAGATGTCAGTGTTTGCATGGCCTTTTGGACGTAACGCTTCCTCTACTGTGTTATCGCTTGCCTTCGAGAACGTCTCTCGAGAGATAAAAGTGGTCCTGATTTAGACGTATAGCCTCGATAGACGGGCGCTTCTTACACCGTGTTCCCACCGATGATTGAAGCACCCAACAAAGAGGGGAGATACGCGAGACGCAAGTGGGTGGCTTCCACGGGGTTCCCTTCTTTTTAGTATTCGGCTTTTATCGTTTGCGCGTTCGCATGTCTTTTCAATGAGGTTCAATAATATCGGCACCTTGAAAGTCACGGCGTCGTTTACAAAAGAAAAAAAAAACGACTTTAGACTGCTGGTATAATGTACAATTGATGGAGACCGCAACACTGATATTAGGCAGGCCAAACGGTGCATGTCTGAGCTTGAAACAGCGTTCAGGGATGATGATTGATGTGTGGGGTTTAACGTCCCAAAACCACCATATGATTATGGGAGACGCCGTAGTGGAGGGCTCCGGAAATTTAGACCACCTGGGGTTCTCTAACGTGCACCCAAATCTGAGCACACGGGCCTACAACATTTCCGCCTCCATCGGAAATGCAGCTGCCGCAGCCGGGATTCGAACCCGCGCCCTGCGGGTCAGCAGCCGAGTGCCTTAGCCACTAGACCACCGTGGCGGGGCAGCGTTCAGGGACAACGAATATATATAACAAAGGCGCAACGTTGGGCTTGCACTGTCATTTCCCTCCTCAACTGCTCATCACTAGAGTCTCAACGGGCTCTGGTGAGACGGGCGCGAATAGGGGCCTCGTCATGCGGTGTCCCGGACTAAGGACGCCGACCATGTAGCGGGGTCATGCTTTCGCCCCGTACCTCTCTCTTTTATAATAACTGTTTTTCATCATCATCATCGTTACCTCGCTTTCGCGCGCACTTTTTCACGCTCTGAAGTATGATTTGATTGATATGCGAGGTTTAACGTCCCAAAACCACCGTATGACTAAGAGAGGCGCCGTATAGTGGAGGACTCCGGAAATTTCGACCACCTGGGGTTCTTCAATGTGCGCCTAAATCGGAGTCACACGGGCCTACCCCATTTCCGCCTCCATCGACAATGCAGCCGCCTCAGCCGGGATTCGATCCCGCGACCTGCGAGTCGGTAGCCGAGTACCTTAGCCACTAGACCACCGTGGCGGGGCACGCTCTGAAGTTGGCCGTTTCGCCTCTTCGTGAGTCTCGGCCGTTGTAATGTGGAACACCTAACTATTAAAGATTTACGGAGAATGCCGATCTAGGTGTGCTGAAACCGTGATGTGGTGTCGAAGCAGAGCCGTAGTCGATGGCTCGGTATAACTTCGACCTCCTGGTGTTGTTTAACGTGCACCTATGTGAATAACAAAAGCACACGAATCTCTTCCGTTTTCGCCTTCGTGCTAAATGCTACCGCCGCGGCCGGAATCGAACCCGTGACCTTCGGGTCATCAGCCGAGCAGCGTAACTTTGGGACACAAATTTTTGGGGGGAGCACTCTCCGCGTCCACGATTGACCTGAAGAGGAACTCCGGGACAACGCTTGACCTGCACGTGCCTGCAATTGCCGTGAACGCGAACTCGGCTCCTTTCCAAGCTCGAACTCCCTTTTAGACACTCCACACGACGTATACGTAGCGCATCGGTCATTTCGAAATGACGTCGCGTTCGTGCGTCAATGGGGCTGAATAGGGCTGTCCGCCGGCCACTCGCGAAGATAAGTTCATCAACTGCCCTTATCTATATAAGTGCCCCCACAAAAGTTGAATGACGCGAAAGGCTGCATTGCATGCGAGTGAATGCGTAGCAAACCTTCGTAGCTGGAAGGTGAATAGTCTATGGGCATTTTCAAACGTTTTTCGATAGGAAACATTTAACTGACAGTAATCTTCAGTTCTTCTTCTTCTGTACCGAGGATACGCTGTCGACTTACGTGGGAATATCTCGCAGGCAGTATAAATTACAGTAGAAAGTTTATTGTTAGCGTTGTTTTCGGTTTCACAAACTAGAAGGATGTGAAAGGTCGTGCCACTATGCAGGGTCGCTTGTTTTTGATGTCCGTCGAGGCCTGTCACGCCATTTAGAAAAGAAGAAACAAGTTTTAACATACTAGACAAATTTAACGTCGTTGCTTTAGGGGAGAACTCGGAGCGCCTGTATTCATGCGCCTGACGTGCTGCATGAACATGAATAAATTAAGTTAGCGATACGTGAGTAGTCGGAACTTCGGAAGTGAGAAAAGAGAAGCGCTATTGACAGGGGAGCACCGCTAATGAGGTGGTCGTGCAAACGTTTGTTCATAAAGTTTTGTTAACTATCGTAATGCAACGAATAACATGCGACGCTACCGGTTCCGTCATGTGAATCTTGGGCTATAGGGTTTAATAAATAACTCGGCTTCGCAGTAACGGTAGTATTACGCAACAAAATTAATTTTGATGTCACAAGAGCTGTTTGGGAGTGACTGCCTGTTTTTGCTGTGCGCGAGCGTTGCGAAGGTTAAAAAAGAAAAAAGAAAACGTGAAAGATATGCTAGCGTATAATCGAAGCAGCTGAAGCACACAAGGAGGCTGAGCCAGGTGTGTCTACCGCTATTTTTTTTTCCCTTTCTTTTTCCGCACAGGCGCGCCGAGAGTTAAAAGAACTCGTAAAAGTTACCGTTGCAAAAGAATGCGCGGATTGTTGAGGCACGCATTTGACGATGCTAGAACTTTACGCTGCAGAAGCATAAATAAACGAAAACAAAGAAAATACTAGGAAAGGCGACGAAGACGGTGCACTAATTATCTATCTTTTCTATCATCTATACCTCTGCTTCATTGGGGTGCGCTGCGCTGGGCAGACATTTTGCTTGTTATTATTTTCTCACTGTTAAACTTACACGCGTCCCCATAGTTTCAGCGCGCACGGGCTCGCGTAATAAAATTTAAAAAAAAATAGCTCGCTGGTGTGTCTTAAAAAAAAATGTAAACGGCCTCCGGAAGTTCGCTGCCTCAAGTTCGCTCACCCGGAGAAGCGTTTTAATCGCGCGGATGCAGCA